CCGTTTTTTTCTCTAGCAGCGAGGACAGCCAACCACAACTCTGATTGGACGACAGTCGCGCGCATGGCCGTGTTCTAAATCAACAAGTTGGTGGTTGGGTGAGCTGGCTGCTGGCTGGCTGGCGACTTCAGGAGCGACACTGTGGGGTTCGCAAACTTGCGCATGCAGTTATCGAAAGATGGCAAATGGGATAGGCGGAGGAGACGGATTCAGATGACGATACATCTGTCTGGCGGTGGACTCGCTGTGTTCTACGGCATCCGAACCCGAATCAACGCAAATTCTTGTTGATTCGGGTTTGTCACCGGATGGATTGAGTTAATAGGCACGCAATCGGGAGATTTGCTGTAACAGGCTATGCAAAGGATGGATGCCCTTCAGCTGGAATATTATTTCGTGCTCCCATTTATGGTTAAGAAACAATTTTTGAGATTCTATCGACGGACGAAATGAATTCTCAGTATGTTTGAGAGATTGCCCCTGTTCGCAGTTCCTGCAAAATAGTTGAGTAACACTTGGCGAAAAATAGCTTTTACAGTACCTCGAATGTGAATTTTAAAAAAGGAGGATGCACTTTAGAGCCGAGAAAATCTGAATTTTCTCTTCAACGAAAATAGCCATCTAAAAATGCCTGTTCAAGGTCTCCCTTAACCGCTAGTACGGAGTCCTCTCCGGTAGTTAACTTGTTTATGCAGTCTGCCATCCGGGTCTTTCAACATAATAATTGTAAATTCGAGGGACTTCTGTTGAGATGGTGGATGCGAAGGAACGAAAACTGACGGTCCCTAACGCCTACATTTCCCGTATCGTCTAGAATTAGTTTATTCGCGGTGGTTGTCTTCATCTCAATTCTCATCAGTTGTTTCGATAAGTTCGGTACTACAGAGTAGCCTACTTTGTCAAATATACATTTTGGAATAACTTAGCAGAACGTTACAAGGTGGGTTTTCCATTATGGATTTTGTATACCAGACGGATTTGGAGGTATAGTGAAGTTCTTCCAATCTGCGGTAGCAAGACTGTTTCCAATAACTTGAGCATTAGCTTGAAATTGCTTACGCGCATAAACCTCGCTAAACTTCGTAATTTGATCGGATTGGAAAAGGGGTCAAAAGTCACAATGTAGAAACTGCCGTATCTCCCAGAAAGCACATGGGGAAAGCTGGGGTGGGGAACCCATGGATGGGGCGACCTCCCAGTATAGCGGTCGAGTATCGATGGGACACGTGTCAGGGCCTTCAGCTGGTACTTGCGCCGCCAATATGGTAAGTCATGTAAGGTGTGGCATCGAAATCGTTTTTTTATTCGAAGCCGTACAATCATCAGGTCAAGTCTAACATTTGTAGGAGAAGAAGACATTGCTGGGGGGGGGATTTATTGGGCACAGAACCCTTAGTTGCTATCTAAGGCAGGAGTGGCCACTAACGAAGCCAGGGCTCGTGTTGAATTCGTACAATCATGCCAGAGAGAGAG